TGGTGACCAACCTGCGCAATATCATACCTTGTTTTTTTTGTATCATGATAATTACTTACAAGGTATGAGTTTTAAATATTTTTATATTATTTGGAACGTTTGAAATTGTTTAAAACATTATTTGTGACGTTTGAAAAAATAGCATGTTCTATTCGGAGTAAAAATGACTTTTGTGCTTCGGCTGTATGTCAAACCTACAGTCTCGCCACGAAAAGGGTCATTTTTACTCCTAATAAAAGTGGATATACTAGAAAGTTTTATGGTTTAACGGGCTTTGTGAGTTAAAACATAATGATATTTTCAGTTTTTATAATTCTTGATCGAAAATAAACGGCGTCAGCGATGGCTATGAAATGAAGATCGCTGTCATTTTATATGTAAATTTATGTGGGAAATGTCGTCGATCGTCATTTCCCTGCCGACTGGACGCCGTTTTTTTTATATGGTACAAAGTTAAAGCAAACTTGACTCTGACCATGTTTTACGCTAAGAAAGATTTATTTCGTGTAATAAAGATTTAAATGGTGTATTAAGTACATAATATTTATTTAAATGTCAAATAATATTATTGAAACAAGTGCCAAGTTTTATTTTTAATTAAGGAAAAAATTAATCAAGAATGTATAAACGTTTTGTTTTCAAAAAAAATTATCTTAAAAACGTAAAACCTCAATTTAGAATAAAATGATCGAAGAATGAAATAAAATTTTATAGCCCTGGGTCAAATCGAAATAAAGTAAGTGTATGTAACTTTTTTTAAATATTAATAATTACCAGTAATTAGCGTTAATGTACCAACATATTGAAAATTGTTATTTCTTTGTTAAATACGGTTTAGAATCCTTAAAATAACAGTAAAAATAATCGAAAATCAACAATGATATAATTGTTTTGTTTAAATTTCTTAATCAGCTGAGCCCTATTATAGTTCGCAAAAATCCGAGCTATATTATTACATTACTCTGAGGGAAATACCGCAAATAATCGATATTTTTGACTCCGCCCCTAATCACATGCTTCATTCTTTTAAAGCTTTGCGATTTGTTCGCCAGAGGCAGCACATTTTGTCGAGAGGTTGACCAACTTTAAGAATATATAAACAAGGCTTATACAGAGTGTCTAAAAATTTATTTTAAATAATTATTAGCTTCAAACGGCAATAACTTCTTTAATTTAAATGGAATGCCCTGTATATTTTAGGAGAATCAGATGCACAATTAAATTGTCTATCAAATTGTATTATACCATTTTTTACCTATCCCTTCAAGTTTTCGTATAAAATGCATTTTCTTATAATTTAGACCTCATTTATCAATATATCAATGGAATATTGACATTTTAGATTGTTTTTAAAGCAACAAATGTACAAAATGTACAGACTAGTAATATTATCGTTTTTAGCAAAACGATAATATTACTAGCCCATTTGTATGCAAAAAGAAAACTATTTAAATCTTTATAAAAGAGTATACCATTAATTAAATATAACACCATTATTTGCGCCCATATACTAATTAATTACATACTTAATTGTGTTCGTTATTAAATTATTATAAATAAATGTGGATTTGAGTCAGAAATCAATATAATAATAAGTTATCAAATTAAAGTCTCTGTAGTTATAAATAAGCATTTATTAAAAAATGAAATATCATTTTTAAGGTGTTACTTTTTATCACACTGTCTAATGCCCATACAAAATTCAGTTTTTTAGTATTTGGAGCAATTATTATTAATCAAAGCAAACAGTCAGTTAATGTTGTTTGAATACTGGAATCATATTAACTGATCCTCTTTAACAAATATTTAAACAGTTTTTTTTTATTTTTTAATGAAATAAACGAATTATATCGACAATATTAGTATCTGTACTCTTTAAAAATTTGGTACATCTTTAAAAATAATCTAAAATGTCAATAGTCCATGGGTATATTGATAAATAAGTTCTAAATTACAAGAAAATGCATTTTCTACGGAAACTTCTCGTAAAATATACAGGGTGTTCCATTTAAATTAAACAAGTTATTGGCGTTTGAAGCTAATAATTATTTAAAATAAATTTTTAGACACTCTGTATAAGGTGGTATTATTTTTATTATTGCAACACAATAACTGATCAGTAAATAAACTTCAGTAAATATTTAGTATTAAAAACTTTGATACCCTTGGAGAAATGAAGCCTTAAAATTTTTACTGCAATTTCACAAAATTGAAAATATTTCAAAAACGGTAAGGTTTAAGTATAATAAATCTTAATCAAATTTACTTTTATTTTAATCGTAGAAACTAAAAATGTAATAATATACAGGGTGTTCCATTTAAAAAAATACAACTTTGATATTTTTTACTTATTGGGACACTCTGTAACTTGTAAAATTATTTTTATATTGTACCTCTAATAGTCCTTCATCGAACCCAAAACTTACAATTTGTAAAAATCTCATCGTTTAGCTACAATACTCCGTGTCGTATGTGGTGAACAACCCTGTATAATAAACATTATTGATCACATATTAATACATTTAATAACAAAACTTTAAAATAAAATATTTACTTGATTTTATGTAAAAAGGCACTGCATTAGAGCCTTATTTTATCTATACAATGAATTTTATTAATAGTCTTCTGAAATAACTTAACCATGAACGTATTTATTAATATTCTTGGTGCCAACAGAATTTTTCTAATTGCCTTGTTCATCTTCTCTAACTTTTCTTGGTCAGATAGTAGACGTACTTTTCATAATAACATAACTGTGAATACTGTGATTTTCCGGAAATACTATTATTAATCTTAGTTATCAGGGATTACATTTTTTTCAAATTAATTTTTCCCCACCTTCTTCCATATGTAAAAAACAGGCCATTAATTATTTAACAAATCAAACATAATATAAACTCACTTTGAAATGTTTTGAAATCACATTCATACCTTAAGAGAAGTTTTCTGAAAAAAACAACATTACGATTTTGCATCTTTTTTCGGCGCGTACAAAAACATTTTATTATAGTTACTGGTAAATGTTATCCAACAATAGAAAATTAATTTTTTAGCATTATTGGAAATAGTTTAAATGCAAATTTAATTTAAAATAAAAAGTAAACAATTGTAAACAATGTCATTTTGACATTGAATAAACAGCAATGCTGCCAACATCATAAAATTCACCAAGTTTATTTTGAGACGAAAACCAGCCTATCATATTGGTGAGGGCTACATACGTCATCACAGCGCGCGTAAGTGTGAAATTCAAACTTTTGCCCCATTTTTGGCATAATATTAAGTTTTATATAAAAAAGGCTCAGTAGCAAGCACTAATTAGGTTGAAATCTGCATAATTGCGTGGAAATTGAAAAACATGAAACATGCCTATTGGTCTGTAATTCTTCGTGGCGCGAAAATTTCCTTTTTTGGAAATAGTGTTGTTCGACCAAACCTAGTCATCCTTCCACAAACCACTCGGGAATTGGTAGGCTCCCATTCAGCCAAGAATATTAAGTATTTTGGTGCGATATGCGTGGGTACTGGGATTTTTTTTCACCAGAAGTTGTTAAATCCGTCTAGGACAGGAGCTCAAAAATTCATAGTGCCTTGTTATACTAAATCCCATTATTTGTGAGCTTCCGCCGGAGTGATCTGTGTACTATACTTCGTTTGGTATCATGTCAGCGCAGTAGTCTTGGAAATGTCAGACTGGAAATGTCCGCTGGAGTGTCCGACCGAAGCGGTTTTGCAGCCTCATAGATTTTTTCCCAGAACGTTTCCACCTGCCGAACTATAGGTGGATTTTGGATGTAGGGTTTGCTGTCTTCCATAAAGCGCAAAGGTTGGATATGAAAGTATTATTATCCACAATTTACTATTTTCTTTTAATCAAGTTGTATTTGATAATGCATAATGATCCTAACGAACTTTGTTTTATGGCATTCAGCGTTAAGATATTTAATGTACGGTGTTTTTGACGTAATGTATTTGCGATGTTTCTGATTTTTATTCGTAAACGTCCTTCCATTTGATATGATATATTCCACTACGCATTGTATACGGGAAGGCTGGGGTGGAGCTCTGTAACTAAATAGCGATCGGTAGCGATCAAGAATACTGTCGCTTGCCGTTTAGTTTCTACGGCTAAAGTCAGTATTCTTCATCGCTACCGATCGCTATTTAGTTACAGAGTTCCCATCACTAATCTACATCCCTCACTAATTCCTTCCCACACCTGTTATCTCGCTAGATATATCTATCTGTTCGATACTTGTTATATGCGCCTGCCAGTCTTTCGAATTGACTGTAAATAACCCCTTGCCTGTAACGATGTTATTAACTGCACTATATTATTATTATTATTATTGTACGAATTATATTAAAAATTACATAATAAACTTTAACCCGTTGCTCTTGAGTATCTGACAAATTTGACATTTATAGTAAGAAATCGTTGTTTCTTTTTTAATTTTACACAAGTATGCTAATATTTAGCCATCTAGGTGAAAAAATCGAAATTTTTAACCATTATAAGCAGATTATCGCGGTGGAAGTTAAAATACCTGATGGTAGTCCGTTTGTTAGTTAAAGATCTATCTAGTTCTTATATGTTTTATTAAATATTTTGAAAAAAATAATAGTTTTAATAAAAAGTTAAATTTTGTTGTAAAAAATTGCTTTCGTGATTCAAACTATAATATGAATAACTCCCAAACTATAATATGAAGTTACTCCCATTTATTGAGGTAGCATCATTCATATATACTTTTTCTTTCAAATTACTTAACTTTCGGCCAACTAAGGCTATAGTAGTAAGTTACTGGTCACCCTCGGCCACCCTGTATACAGATAATTCTTTTATAAGAGTCCTAATACCAACTAAACACTAAACATTACATCACAACTAGTATCGTAAAAACTTGAGCTTTACAGGATCTATTGGTATAAATATGAATTGTATCATATTCTCAGTTGGTGGAGTAGATTATAATTTAGGGCAACATATTTTTTTATAGTTATTTCACTAAACCATTTAAACGGTGGCAACAGATGGTTATGTACCGCTTCCAGCGACAGATATTTGTCCTACTGGGATCTGTACAAGAAGTTAAAAATCAACACTGTTAAGAAGAGCGGCATTACAGAAGGCACTTGGATGTCGCTCTGGCCTTGCACCGTTTTTGCAGAGGGAGAATCAAGATTGTCCGGATTTCGTAAGTTTTTCTTAGAACAAATATTTTTCTTTTTTTTTCGAAATTATAAATAGTCTAGGGGCGCTATACATTCTGTACATTCATGTACGGCATCGACAATCGTCGGTATCGGTAAGTTACGACAGTCTCGATACGTATTTGTATATAGTAAAAATGTGTTAACTGTTGCTGTCATAGTTACCGATCGGTCCTATGGCAGATATCGCAAATTTGTACCGACGATTCTTGGTTCCTCTACCGTGAGGTTACCAAGGGCACGGTAGAGGTACCGATTTTCGTTAGTACAAATTTGCGATATCTGCCATAGGGCCGATCGGTAACTATGACAACAACAATCAACACGACGCTCATGACGCGTCGTGTTGATTGTTGTTGTCATAGTTACCGATCGGCCCTATGACAGATATCTCAAATTTGTACCGACGACTCTCGGTATCTCTACCGTGAGGTTGACAAGGGCACGGTAGAGATACCGATTTTCGTCGGTACAAATTTGCGATATCTGCCATAGGACCGATCGGTAACTATGGCAACAACAATAACACATTTTTACTATATACAAATACGTATCGAGAGCTGTCGTAACTTACCGATACCGACGATTTTACAGAATAGCGCCCCTTACAATCGTCGGTATCGGTAAATTACTGACAGCTATCGGTACGTATTTGTATATAGTAAACATGTGTTGATTGTTGTTGTCATAGTTACTGATCGGCCCTATGACAGATATCTCAAATTTGTACCGACGACTCTCGGTATCTCTACCGTGAGGTTGACAAGGGCACGGTAGAGATACCGATTTTCGTCGGTACAAATTTGCGATATCTGCCATAGGACCGATCGGTAACTATGGCAACAACAATAACACATTTTTACTATATACAAATACGTATCGAGAGCTGTCGTAACTTACCGATACCGACGATTTTACAGAATAGCGCCCCTTACAATCGTCGGTATCGGTAAATTACCGACAGCTATCGGTACGTATTTGTATATAGTAAACATGTGTTGATTGTTGTTGTCATAGTTATCGATCGGCCCTATGACAGATATCGCAAATTTGTACCGACGAGGATCGGTATCTCTACCGTGCTCTTGTTAACCTCACGGTAGAGATACCGAGAGTCGTCGGTACAAATTTGCTATATGTCCTATTTATGACAGCTATATGTCCTATATATGACCACAACTTCGACGCTCATTGGCCGTACGTACCGATTGTTGTCGGTAACTTACCGATACCGACGATTGTACAGAATAGCGCCCCAGGGGGACAGTGAAGATTTTCGGTACTTATTTTCTCAGTCAGCAAACACCGATAGAACAATTATTCGGTATGTTGTTTTAAGCAAATTTCCGATGGGTTGGGGCGGAAAATGCGTTAGAAAGTACTAATATACTGCACTTTTTTTCCGGCGATAAAAATAGTTCTATTAGTGAGTCTTTAGCCAGACTCACAAATTTTCATTTTATATACTTACGCGGATACGTAAGTAACTATGGAAACTGTCGCAAACATATCAACGACTTACATTTATCTTCTTCTTTTGTTGTACACGCGGTATTTCTACTCTATCTATTGTCGCTATCTACTATCAACTATCATCCACGCGCTAAATTTGAATATTAATTTTAAAAATGCATATTTGTACAATGCATATATTTGAACATGAAATAGAATGTTTACTGTCTGAAAAATAAAATTATATAAAAAATACATTTAGCCACTCCGAACGAATATCAATATTCTTAGGAAATCTAATCAGAAAGTATAAGTGTAATTTAATATAAATAAAAGTACAACTGAATAATTTGCTTGCCTATCAAAAGATAATTTGGGGTCCTTTATATTAGAACTTCCACACATCAAACACTTTCTAGTTATTTTTACGAGTATTTAAAAAGTTCAACGAAAAATAGAACTATATATACAAGTATCCTTTACTATATATAAACGATGGATAAAAGAGTGATTAATAAAATTTTTAAAATAAAAACGCAAAAAACAAGTGCCTTTACATCATGGAAATAACATTGGGACCATAGATAAATGAAACAAGTTTAGATTGGAAAGTGCCCATAAGGACAATGTAAATACTATTTGGCGCTATTCTTGCAACGGTCGCGACCCAAAGCTTTTGATAATTTCAGAGTGGTTCGGCTTTTTCCGGAATTATGTCGCCAAATATTGTTTATTCAAATTTATTATTTTCTTTTAATTTTATAAATAAAATACAGTGTGTTGTATACAAGAAACATTATTTATATAAGGACATGTATCAAATACCTAAGAAACATTGGAAACCGACATTATGCCACGATACACGGTGGTTTTTGCAGTTCACAGTTCACAACACAGCTTTTTAAATTTTTAATTCTACTTTTTCACAATTATCACGGGTTTGAGTAAATAAAATTTAAAATAAACTCACAAGATAGCAATAATTACTTTGAAAATGGACACTTTAAACACTTCTTATAATTTTTGAAGATTCTGGCTTTGACAAGAGAAAATTATTTCTGTTCTTATTTGCGACTGTTCTTAGCAACCTAAATAGGAATCATAGCAACCGCTATAGCAGCGCTAGATCGCGTACAACGGTCGCGACCCAAAACTATATATTTTGACGGGCATTCCAATCTAAATTTATTTCCTTTATCTATGGATTAGGACGATAAGAAGAAAGACAATATTATGACAATATTATGACAATATGATGACAATGAAAAGTTGGTTTCCATAACGATGTATGCTTTATACTTTTTAAATCGTATAAAATTGTGATTATTTTGTAAATACGTACAATTTAGAATGCGCATGCACAAAGTAAGGTCCTCGGGATAGACAAACCTACTGAATGTTTCATAAGTGCAATAAAGATGGTTTGAAAATGGCATGTCATAACGTTGGAAACATCATTTTTAATCCTAATCGTATGGCGTTCCATATGCATCCACGTAAGTATATATAATCTTGGATCCGAACAAACTATTTCATATTCACCGACTGCGAAAATAAATACAAAAAAAATTCACTGTCTCCTGGACTAAAATGAAGCCAATAATTTTGTCCATTGGTTAATTAAGAGATGATAAATTCATTTTTAGCACCTATTCATACATATATTAAAACTCTCAGAGATGCCCTGACGGAAACAGAAACGTTGACTACAGCATCGTCGGGAATTTCCGGACTGTCTTTCAGCGATTGGTTGAATGCTGTTCTGCACTGTACGAAGACTGGAGAAGTTGTAGTACAATTTAATCAAAGACTGTTTTATAAGATTGACAGTAAAAAGAGGCACTATGCGAAATTTGTGAGTAAAATATATTTGAAGGGAAAAATAATTAATAATGTATGCCTCCGGTTTGTCTAAGAAGAGAAACTTTCTTATGATTAACATTTTGATTGTTCTAAAACGGTTAATCCCGTTTATACTTTTTCAAATTTTTATGCCGTTTTAGAGAAAAATAAAATAATGTGAAAACCAAAATGAAAAGGTCGTTGAAAAGTCCTACAAATCAAAACACGTTTCTATGATAATATCGTTTCTTTTTAACTCTTTGATAGATGGTTATTATACACTCAGATGCAAAAAAACGCAATGGAGAAAATTTTGGTCAAGTTAAAGTGTTATATTTTTGTTATTTTTAGCCCTATTTTTATGATTTTTTTAGCAAGCTGTATATAATTATATCAACTTTAATTCTTATACTCAGTTTTTTTATAAACTTTAGTATTTGGCATATTATACAGGTTTACTCGAGGGGTTGTTTTTTTACCCTAACTTTAAAACACCCTGTGCAATAATTTCGCGTGTCAATTTTCCTAAATTATAATTTTACGGTCAGAACCATGTCTCCGGAGCATTTTGTTTTTTTGGATCATGTCAATACATACTTTGGTTAATTTTTAAGATCGAAATGAACTTGCCACCAACAATTTGGAATTTTTTTCAATTATCATTTCTTTTTGAAGTTATTTTTGAATATGACAGGCAGCTTTGGTGATTATTGTGAACTATACACTACTATGAACTGCCCATCATGTTCGACGTTTGGGAAATGTTTGGCAAAAGGGTTAAAGGTCGCGAAGCGTTACCAGCTTCATTAAATGAACTTCACATGGTCCTTAAAAAAGAATTGTAAAACATAAAGCAATATGGTATATGCAGCCTCAATCACAGTATGAACGGACATCTACAGACTGTTATAGCAACCAAGGGAGGTAATACAAAGTATTAGGGTATTTTTTACAATTTTTGTTTTCTGTTTGTGTACTTGAGTATTACATATTTTTTCTTTAATATCCTTAGTTTTGTTATCGTTATGAATGTTTATTAAAACCCGACTATATCGTTAGTTTTTAACGTTATTTAAATTTAGTATAGAGTATCCAATGCAGCGCAATATGACGTTACGACAATAGTCATCAAAACCATCCCGTCGTATTAAAAAAATACATCAAAAAATAATGATAATTGAAAAATTGCAAATTGATCGTGATCAATTCATTTCGCTCTTAAAAATTAACCAAACTATGTATTGAATCAAAAACAAAATGTTCAGGACTCATAGTTTTGACCGTAAAATTATATTTTCGAAAAATTTACACACGAAATTATTGCACAGGGTGTTTTAAATTTAAGTTAAAAAACAACGCCTCGATTAACCCTGTATAATATGCCAAATATTAAAGATTATAAAAAACTGAGTTTACGAATTAATGTTCATATAATTATATGCAGCTTGCTAAAAAATTCATGAAAATAGGGCTAAAAATAACAAAAATATAACACTTTAAATCTGACTAAAAATTTTTCCGTTGCGTTTTTTTTGCATCTGAGTGCATTAATATTGATTATTGTCATATTTTTCACTGTTGTTAAAGTACCATCATTTTGTGCCTTTAAGCATTTTAAAACAGCAAAAAATCTCACGTCAATAAAAAAATCATAGTAACCATCCATCAAAGAAGAAAAAGGAATTATATTACCATAGAAACTATTTTGATTTTTACGACTTCAGGAAAACATTTAACCATATTTTTATAAATGGGATATAAATGTAGCACAAGAACAAGCATTATAGAACAAGCATTTTTTTATAAAGAATGCATTTTTCTCGAAATGTTAATAATAAAAAAAATGTACGAATAAACACCTGATGCTAACGTCTAGTCTCTTATTGGTCTAGTTATCCGATCGATAACTCAAAATCCAGGCTTCTGCACGACGCTTGAGCACGCCTAACTAAGCGACTTATGCAAATTCCTTCAGAAGATTTATAAACCCATTTCACCGGCTCGGCTTCACAGAATGCTGTTTGGAGCATCGAAAAAAGTTAAGGATATTGTGTTTTCGCTAAGAAGAAGAATTTTCAGAAAAAGTGTTATAACTATTAAAACCTATCTCGTTTGTGTTTAAAAAAATACTGTTTGTAAACATAAAAAATTATACCCAAACAAATAAAAAGCACTATCATCAAAAATGTACATTTAATTTTTATTTAGAATAGAACTTGTGCTTGCGTGTTGCTAAGCGGCACACAGTGGGGTATTTGACACAGATAGTTGATCGAAATTTTTTTATGTAGACCTTATATAAATTATTGCTATTTTCAATTAAAGAGGAAATAATATGAACAAAATAAAGGATAATTCGTCGATTCTAAAAAAAGAAAGAAAAATCACAGTTCCAGTGTTTCCACGGCCAATGCCACTAATGCCAGTAGTAATATCACAACTAATACTACTAATGCTACGACTGATCCGCGTGCAATGCCCATACCACTAAAGTCGCTACTAATGCCAAATTGTGCTATACTGCTAATGGCACTAATGCGATCGCTTTGTACACAACAATGCCATCACGGTTTACACCTCGCATTAGTATATCACTGATTGGCAAATTAGAGGAAACCAAGAATGTTTTTCTCATTTTATCAGCAAAGTCGCAAAAAGTCGCAGTATTTTATTTTACTGTATGAAAGCCCAATGTTTACTAAGTAAAACGTATATAGACAATATGCTGAATTCTTCGAAATGCGCAACTAAATCTCTAAGTATAATAAAAATGTCACAAATTTAATAAAATTTTCTGAACGCCTAACTTTTAGTTGCAAAAAAATCGTTAGTATAGAGAATATCAAAATAAATAATACGTTTTTGTAGAATACATACCTGCAGCTTGCTGAGCCATTTTCAATCAAAACAATAATATAAACGTAAAAAGAGCACAAGAACAACAACAATTTATAATTTTTATAATTTTAAACATAAAATTTAGCCATTTACCTCTTATCTGCGAGAAGTAACAACTTTGACGTTTCGTTGAAACAAATGAATGCAACTAAACACACCTATAGCAACGGCATTCATGGCAGAGATGATTTAACTTATCATTTATCTTTTTTTGGTAAATCTTAAACACATTTGCTTTTTCGAATTTCGATCACCTTTTTCATGCTAATACCCCACCGTGCGGCAGTTTGCGATACTGTGGATATTCTGTCATCGATAATATGAACAGACGTCATTTAACAGTAGAGGAAGCAAATCAAGCCATTGGATTGGCTTGGCGGTGCGCGACAGATCGATGTGGCTGATCGATTTAAAGTTACCTAAAGTGTAATTTCTAGACTTAAAACCCGACTTAATGAGACTGGATCTGTCATGGAGGGAGGGTAGACCAAGGTCGACAAATGCTAGGAAGGACCGAAGCTTACTGAGAGGAGCTAGGATGGATACTGCAAGAAACTGCACGTTGCTCAGCCAGGACCTTTTCGCTGCCTGCACAGTACGTATTATCCCTCGGACGGTTTTAAATCGATTAAAAAAAGCAGGTTTACATTGCTATAGGCCTATAAGACGCCCTCCGTTGACCGCGAGAGTCAGGTTGAGGCCATAAAGCTCACCTTTTGCTCTGGTGTAATGAAAGAGTTAACTGGAAGGATGAGTGGCATACTGTGATGTTCAGCGCTGAAAGCCGCTTTTGTCTTCGTACAGACAGACGTATAGTTCGTGTGTGGAGACCAAGAAATACAAGACTTAACGACCGATATGTTCAAGTGCATCCCTTTGGAGTTGGAGGTGTAATGGTCTGGGGTTGAATTTTCTATGGAGGTCGAAGGGATTTACATGTCTGTGAAGGTACAATGAGAGGTGAAATTTATGCTGACGACATCATTGATAACATGGTAAATTATTGTCTCTGGAATTTGGAACCCAATTTCAGATTTCTAGATGATAACCTCGCCCGCATAGACCAGGGAGAGTACAAGAACGTCTAGCACTTAATGAAATTAATCATTTGCCTTTACCCCCGCTCTCTCCAGATTTAAACTGTATCGAACATGCTTGGGACATGCTCGGAAAAGCACTAATTGCCCATGAACCTCCTGTTCAGGACGTTAGGTCACTGAGGCGAGTTCTTCCATATTTATGGGATACCTTCGATCAAAATGCCTTGGATCATTTAATTTTAAGTATGCCTCGCCGAGTTGAAGCAATAATAGCCAATAGAGGTAGAATTACTCGCTATTAATAGTTTTTTTTTCTTTTTGGATATTATCATTCTTACATTATTAGAGAAAAAATGCCTGTAAAATTTAATTAAAAATTTTTTCAGTAAAAACAATTGTGTTTCGTTTCTGAAAGAGCTGGCAGTAAATGTACGTTATACAATTTTTTTCGAAATTTTTTTTCACAGAAAATTTACAACATCCCTAACTTTTTTCGATTAGTTAAGTTACTTTATAAATATATTGGTTTAGAGTAATTTTGTTAAATTATACGAATATTCTCGTTGATTATATTGGTTTGAAATAAATATGACGATGTCCTCCAATGAAAATGCCAGTTGCTTAACTCTAATAATTCTAATTCTGAGCTAAATGAGCTAAATGCTTTACCTAGACCATTATTCAGAAGCTACAAACCTACCGATGAAAATATGCATGAAAATTCACTTTCTACCACACAACCAGAGGATATTGGTACCCAGGTACAGTATCAAATTTATTATAATGCTTTTCTTAGCTTTAAATCAAATGTTTTTGGTGTTTGCGCTATCCTTACCACTTTTTTTCTCGTTAGCTCGTGCGTCAAGGCGTGGTCAAGGTCATGTCGTGTCAAGGCCGTGGTATGTCACGAATTTTTGATTGAATTTTGATTGAACGCTTGAATTTTTACTACCATCGCGCGTAAAGAAGTTTCACTAAAAAAGTTTTTTCTTTTATAAATGACGATCCGGGGACGTACAGATAAAAACAGATGGAAATGTAATTATTACTAATGATAAAGTCAAACAAATAAAAATAATAAAAACATAAAAGATATACATAAACTTATTTAAATTAAGAGAATTAGGAAATCCAACATAGTAATACCTGTCAATGCCATATTTTTATAAACTTGTCAAATTTTTACTGGTTTTAATTTGTTATTAAATTTATTTTTAGGTATTATCCAAAACAAAATTGGTTAGAAAAGATGAGCCAAAAACTGAACCCGTCTGTGATATTGATACTTATAGTGAAGCAGTAGAAAAATATGGTTTGGTTTTTTTAGATTACAAATTTGTAAGTTTTTTAGAAATAAAAATTCTTTGAACCTTTAAATTTGTACATATCCATAAATTGTTATAATTGAGACACCATTTTATCAAAATTAATTGAAAAATATCAATTTCTAACAATAATCTTGCAATATTTTCTATACTTGGTGCATCTCAAAAGTTGCTCACCCCTCAACTTTTTTATTTTTTCAGATAAAAAACGGGATTTGATATGTTAGTATGAACGACATATCATATGTCAATTTTTGACATTTTTTGGCATATCGTCGGCTTTATGACGAAAAGGCATATCTCGATTTTTGCTAGTTTTCAGAAGAGCAATTTAAAGAAAATCACTTACTTTATTTGGCCAATAAATGTAAAGTCTTAAATTTTTTAAGTGTTTTTGTATTAACACTTAAACGGAGACCTTGAGGACACGTTCTGAAGATAAATTGAGTGTAAATTCTAATAAATAATTTATTTTTAGTTGTTTGATAGAGATATGTCTTTTCGTTATAATAATAATAAATTTATTTCCGAACGAATAGTATACATACGCCCATGTAAAATAAATTTCAAAATGATGGTAAAGTGTTCCTAATAAGAAAAAAAAATACAATATTCACATTATGGATTACATACAAGAAAATATCTAGAAATCACCAAAAAATCAGAAACAAATATTTTTAAATACTTTTATTCGTGTTGGATTAAGTCAACTGAAAACAAAGACAATGCTCATTCTAGAAGCAAAGACAAAATAAGTTAAAATACTCTTATCTAGTTTATTTTAATAATATTGTTTTTTATACAAAAATACATTTTTTTACTAATATATTTTTAGTCTAGTAAATACTAGGAGTACTAATTTACGAAAAAAATAAATCAGTGGTCGGTAGAGTAGGAAAATATTTCTACTGAAATTAACGTAGGAGTGGGGGTAGTTTTCACGCTTCCCGTACCTTTTCTTGATTTTTGTGAAAATCAAATGTTAAAGCGCTTAGTAAAACATAGGCACTCCAAATCTCATTCAAATCGGAATATTGGTTCTTAAAGTATTTTAAAAAATGTGTTAGGTTAGGTTAGGTTAGGTTTTTAACGTTTGATGTTCTCTAAAAATTGTGACCAATGAACTTTTTTGATTCCAAAAATACGCAGTAGTTCTATGTCCACGGAATATTGGGACACCCTGTATACCGGGTGCGTCTCAAAAGTGGCTCACCACTGGTATGTTTGTATAGAACATAAATTAGGATTGATTGACGTATTCAATTGTTTTCGGCCACTTCCTGTTTCACCGAAAATTACTACAACTTCTGATTTTTTAATGGCACCCTCGGTATTTTTTTACTTTATTCGATAGAATACACTCTGGATAGAATGGCATATCATATGTCAACTGTTGACATTTTTGCTTAAAACTAAATTGTATTTTAATTTTCAATCTAGAGTGCCATGGCTGGTTAAAAACACTAATTTTTAATCAAGGAGCTTTGGAAAAATAGATTTGATCGTTTAATGTTTTTAGTGTTTTGTCCTGACCAGTTAAAAGATGCCAGTTAAAAAATCGTATTTTTAATCATATTTAAATTTTTTCAAATGAACTTTTTTTACGAATATTTGGTAGCACACATTTGGTAATTGTCGTTATGAATCGCATGTTGCAATTTCAAATAAACAATATTCGAAAATTTCAACAGTTGACATATGATATGTCATTCTATTCAGAGTGTATATTCTATCGAATAGAGTGACAAAATAACGAGGGTGCCATTTAAAAATCACAAGTTGTAGTCATTTCCGGTGAAACAGGAAGTGACCGAAAACAATTGAATACGTCAATCAATCCTAATTCCGATTATCCAAATCTCGATTATTTCTCTTTAAACATTCAATAAACTGCTATACTTCATTCTTTTACAACATTTGACTAAGTTTGACTGAAAACGTTACTTATGTTTTATTGGTTTATTGCTTACACATCACAACAAAAAAATACACATTTTGACATTTTTACTTGAAAATAAAATATTATATAATTTTTTTTAATTAATAGTTGTGATTATAAATAAAATTGTATTAATTATCTCGATATTTTTACATAAACTCTCGCCAGTAAGAAAAACGTCATTAATTGATACTTTGTAATTTTGTAATTTTTGTAATTTTTTTAGGATACAGAAATCACCTGTCGGAAATCATGCCAAAAAGGTGGTTTGAGTCACATCAAATTCTCCACCGCAAAGTTCAATCAGTATTCTTTGCAGTCAATCAACAAAGTTCAGTTCAATCCAAACTTGGGCAGTTGTAATTATTACGTCACAGGATATCAGGCAGGCATCCTTAGGTTAAATAAGATAAACTTCTTGAAGAAGAGTTTAACTCGGTACCTGTAACGAACTATTTTGTGTCATATAATAGTTTATGTGACTGAGTGAGGCTAATATGAACGTGTAAACTTGTAATTTACACATTTTTGGTATGTTTTATAAACGGTAAATAATCGGAAATCGTATTTTTTTCACAGAAATTTGTATACCCCTTATTTTGGAGTCGTAGATTACAAATCAGAACCTTAATTTAGCCGTCACATACCGTTTTCGCAAAAAATCTAATTTTTTTAAGATTTCTCACAATTATTAAGTACTGAATAAACCATCTGATTTTTGCTATTTTCTGTTATTTTTTAACCACTTATACCTACAAAATACAAGAAAATTTGCAAAAAAACATTGGTAAACAATTTGAATATTATGTTGGGTTATGTGTTAGCGGTGTTTTCCGCACTCACCAAGCAAAAAAAACACCAAACCCATTTTTTCTATTCACAACGACCCTTTTAAATCATAGAATATCTGTATATAAATGTCAAGCGTCCAGCTGCTACATGGCACAAATATGTCTACACGAAGTTGCACAAATGAGTTTTGACTGCTTGTCAAAACTGTCAAAACAAAGAAATCAGAAAAACAAAGTCAGATTTGTATATATTTTTATGATAATTTTCAGCCGCATTCCTTTTCAAACTTCATCTCCGTCTTCGCCCGAAAGACAAACGAAAGGAATTTATCACGAATATATTGAAGAGTACCTTAAAATCCTCCAGCTCTTAGCTTATGCCATCGATATATTATATAGTATCAAAACCATATACATATTAAATATATACTGATTATCGCCTATCCCTGCAATGTGTTGGAGTTGAAGCTGAGTTAGAGACAACTAGATAACCGGTCCATGTATATTTCACATAAGTTCGTCTGTTAGAAAAACGCTGGCGCAATAGCGCAACTCCAAAATTCCGAATATCGATTAGTTTTAGCTTGGCCTTGTGGAACGCGTGGTCGAACGGGAGCGCAAACACGATCCTCATTTCTTATTCAACTGTCTTTGTGTTCGCATCGGCTTTTGTGTATTTTGAGCTTCACTCTTCACTTGTGTTTTTATTTCTTTGAAACAAAAATGAGTAGAAAATTGTGTTTTTTTTGTGCGACAGGAAAAAGGTTGTTGGAATAGCTTTCCATAAGTATATAATAAATTGTTCATGCTAACTCATTTGTACATACGTATTAAATAAATATCATTTTTTATAAGTAAATGTACATAGTTGGTAAAGTTCTGTGTCCTTATATTGCCTCTAGTTTACAGATTTTAAAATTAATAAATAAAGTGATTACAGTAAAATTGCATTTTAATTTTTACTATCTATAGTTTTAATTTAAAATCTAACAATTAAATTTATGTACTAAAACCACGCCGTATATCCGTAGTAAAACCGTGGTAAAACTATGTAACCATTTAATTATTTAAAACACTAAGTCATTTAATTTACAATCATATTAAGCATTTTGTATCCACGTTTAAAGTGATATTTTATAAGCTAGTAGGATAAAATAACTTTATTCTACTAATGGAATTTATTAACATTATTATTTATATTAATTGTCGGAACGAATTTCAAATTCGAACAGCTGAAAAAAGCGCGAACGAAAGCCGTGCGAAGCTGTACGAAGTCGTACGAATGAACAGCTTATGCTCTGATTGATTTAGTTATCCGATCGATAATTAAAAATTCACGCTTGCGCACAACGCTTGTGCTCCACTAACTGAGCGAAGATTTATATACCCATTTCACCGGCTCGGCTTCACAGAATGCAGTTTGGAGTCAATATACATTAGTTAATATATATATGATCAAAACACATTCACCACATAATACGCTCCATTAGTGTGACGTCATGTAGCAGAAGGTCAGTGTCGCAAAATCCAAACAAAGCAAGAATATAATGGGATAATCTAATTTTTCTTAATTTTATATTATATTACTCTGTTCAAAAGATATTTGTGTCTTTCTGAGTAAGTATATAAGCGTTTACTATAGGTATAATTACATAAAAGGATACATATATGGATAAGTAATATGAGGTTATGTTAAAACAATAAAGAACACGAATTTCCATAGTATTATAGAATTTATTAACTATAAAGTGCACGGGTACGGTTCAAAATTAAATATACTTACTTGGAAAAATACAATTATCCTTAAGAAAACAGTAATATAATAATAAACGAGAAAAAAAAACGGGTTAATTCATGCTTTGTTTAGATTTTGCGACACTGACCTTCCGCAATATGACGTCACCACTAATGGAGCGTATAGACATGTATTCGATCAGCTCAGTAAAAAAATTCTGTAATGGTAATAAGTATTACAAAATCGGTTAAATTTTATAAAAAAGCATATTCTTGCGTTTGTAGTTGTTCTGAAGATTAACCGTTTTATTTTATGTGGTGTTAGTTTCATCTGTACCAACAATAAATAATTAATAGTATGATGATAGTAAGAAAATCGCTAATTAGTAATACAAGAAAACTAATATTAACATTTAAAAAAAGGTAACTAAATTGAATTCCGGTTTTCTTGACTTCAGGGTAATAACCTTGAGGGACTTATCAATAATGACTCAAATCAATATAATAATATTAATTTAAGTCATTTTACTGACTTAACTTGCAGATTACCATGATTTAAGTGAAAGACTTAAATCGTTTCAACTTTATGTTGAATTTGACTTAAGAAGAGAGAAACACAGTCGCATGCATTGACGTCACTTGCCAGCGCTCTTTCGACCGCCTTCCGCTTATTATTTATGCCGTGAATGACGAGAATCGGAAAGTTTAGTGGTGTTTATTTTTTTTGCAATGAACGGACCGTTTACTGTGCTTGTGAACAATAATAATGTAGAGAACTGTGTTGGTTATGTGTGCGGTATCTTAAAAAAAGGATTTTCAAGTGGAAAGTTTCAAGATAAGACGGGCGATCTTAATTGAACCGAGATATTGAGAAAGGAATCACCCGCCAAACGGGGATAAAAAAACTATTTGTCCTTAAGATCCAGTATATTACAGCCTAAGATAAAAGAAATAATTATTTTTTTAAATTTATTTTTTATGTATTTTATTTTTATATTTGTTTCATCGTTTATTCATAATGAAGATTTGCTGGGTGGTTCTTTTTTTATATCTTAGTCCAATTCTGGTAGGCCAATGAATGGGCCTCATTAAATTTAGAGACTAAAGTGGAAAAATCGGCAAAGAAATTTCCTAGGCATTTTCCCGTATGGTTTGATGAAAAGTATGAATGGAATGAAAGTGTATGGACATTGTTTTGCTGGCCTTGCTTACTTTTTAATATGCTGATTATAGACCTCAAGTGTCATTTGGAAAATATCTCGGAAAATTTTTAATTTAAAACTCTTTTTTTATGTTTGAAAAACCAAGAAGCTTAAGCTTAAAACCAAAAAGCTTAAAAACACAAGACTTCTGGAAATTTGCAAACTTGCATCGTTGCAAAATTGAATGATTGTTGATTAAATGATTCTATCAATTGAAGGAACCCAAACCAAATTTTCACCTTGTATTTTTTGGTGACAATTTTCAATGTTTATTTTGTTAAGAAATGTGTTTTACACAAATTCTGTATTACATTAAAAATTTCAATACATTACTTATTTATCGAATAAGTTATTAAAATATTAGCCGACTCGCATATTTAGTACTTATTATTTACTTGGAAGTCTTTCCAAATAAATAATAAATTAGTTATTTATTTGGAAGTTATTATCGCTTTTATGTTGGTAAGTTTGATGACTTGGTTAGACGTTTGGACCTTCTGGGGGGATATATCCCCGTTATCCTGTGGGTACGCCACTCAAATCGAGACGCTATACGGCTTAAATAAAATTAAATGTTTAAATAAATTTTAATTTTTTCCGACAATGGTAAAAGATAACCAACAGAAAAATGCAGATTCTCGATTAATCTACGATAGAGGGTGTACAACTACCAAAATAGAGGGTGTAAAAATTTTTGTGAAAAAATAAAAATAAATGTTCAATTATTACTTCAAAATCTACATAACGCACCTTTAATCATAAACTGGCGCATCACTAATTATTTGTTAATATGATTAATTTGGTTTGGTTACTTTATGATCGAAGGTGCGATATGTACAGGGTGAGTCAACGATAGAGTAGTAAAGTCCATTATCTCATTTGTTTCGAGGTTTACAAAAAAATGTTAAAATTTAATATTTTTTTTTGTAAAAAAATATATAAGTTATAGGGAATATTATGATACACATTTTAAAATTATTGTACAGTATACAGGGCAGGGTTGGAAAAAATCATGATTTTTTTTAAAAAAATCAAAAAAATCCGATTTTTTTATTTAAATCAGATTTTTTTGATTTTAATTAAAAAAATATTTAAATCGGATTTCTAAATGACTAACACTTATTTCCAATTAAAGTCCTATCCTAAATGGCTAAATCTGTATAACTCTGAGCGATACCGATAACATTGATAATTCTACGGCGCGTATCATTTTTCCACATCGGTCACCAATATATTCCTCAAAAAAAGTCGCTCGCTTCAGATCAAAATGATTTTTTTTCAAATGTCTCAAAGTATTAATTTTTGTCATTTTAACGGCTAGGCATAAAAGTAAAGCACTGTTACGCCTAAGCACAAAAGTACAAAAATAATATATTATTAATCTGATATTAGGTGTCAAATTCAACGAGTGTACATATCGTTTCTCGATTACTGTTTGTATTATTTGCAATGTTTGAAATTGATTAAAAAATCATTTGTAATGTTTTAAAAAAATACTGTTTTATCCGGAGTACAAATGTACTTTTTGTGCCTCCTTGTAACGTCGGAATAGTTTTAGGATGGTCCTTCAAATGTACAGCATCGTCAAAAAAAGTATAATTTCTACTCTTAATAAAACAATACACTACTGTTCGGAAATAGTCTTAAGTCGAGAATGAAATTAGTATTATCTAATGTCAAAGTGTAAAGTACTTACTGTAAATCAAAATGTCGGTAAGAATTTGGAAACATACCAACGTTTCAAAAAAAAATATACAGGGTTGTTCACCACATACGACACGGAGTATTATAGCTAAACGATGAGATTTTTACAAATTGTAAGTTTGGGGTTCGTTGAAGGACTATTAGAGCTACAATTTAAAAATATTTTTACAAGATACAGAGTGTCCCAAATTAATAAAAAATATCAAAGTTGTATTTTTTTTAAATGGAACACCCTGTATATTATTACATTTTTAGTTTCTACGATTAAAATAAAGATAAATTTGATTAAGGTTTATTATACTTAAACCTTACCGTTTTTGAAATATTTTCAATTTTGTGAAATTTTAAAGCTTCATTTCTCCAAGGGTATCAATGTTTTTAATACTAAATATTTAATGAAGTTTATTTATTGATCAGTTATTGTG